TTCATGACATTTACATGAAAGTTTTGATGTTAATTCACAACTTAATTTTCTTACTTCAGGATATGGATCAATTATTGTTCGTTTTAATATAGTTATCCATTCATTTAAATATAATGATAATTTATTACCATTAGAATATATTTGACAAAGTTCATATAGAATTGATATAGATTTTAAACGTATTTCTTCAGATGGTTCAATAATATCATTTGTTCCAAGACGTTGTACAAATGTTGGTATTAATAATGATAAAATTTTATCAATATTATTATCATCTATACAATATTTTGTAATATACATTGATATATATGCTAATGCAAGATCACGATTTTTTTCAGCTGGATCAAAAAATATTTTAAGCATAGATTCAATTATATTCGATGGTGGATGTAAATAATCATCATCATCATTATTATTATTATTATTGTTAGATAATGATGATTTAAGATCATTACAGAGATTTTGAAGAGCTTTTTGTCGTGTAATTTTATTTGGATCAGCAAGAAGAACAATATTACGATTCATTTCACTTTCTGTAAGCATCCTGAGAACATAAAATTATCTTTTTTTTTAAAATTTATATGAAAAATGACTGTAGAAGAATCCAGAAATAACCATGACTTCCATAACAAACTGTTTTTTCTTAGTTGTCGTCATGAAAACATTATTATTCATATAATAATGTTAGATGTCGTTCGAAATCAGGAATGAGATTTTTTTGTCCTCATGGAAATCGTTATATCTGTTAAATATATATAGATGAATAGGTTCATACGGATTTACATATCCTGCAATACAAAACTTATTGTGGGAAAGCGAGAAATTTACAAAAAGCTTTTGTTTTAGTAAAAGCTTAAAATCAGATGGATAAGCTAAATTAAAAGCAAAAAAAAAAATGAAGACATTTTTTTTTGGCAAATTGCAAATCACTACAAATGAACATATATTTCTCTGATGTATGCAGCATATAAACTAGAATTTCTATTCTAAACTAAAATTTTAAGACATGCAGATTTCTGTAAAGTTATATTGAAATGAATTCTGATAGAAACGTGAAACTAAGAAAAAGCATTTGAGATTGTAGATGCAGATGTTAGTGTATGGAGGTGCAAGAATACCCAATCCACATTCCATACTCACACACTCATAACTACACTTTGTTTTTACTTTTTCTGCTGCGTGAAAGTAAATGTCCTGCAAAAAATGGTCGACATCCAATTTTGTCTTTACATGGCACTACCGCAAAAATTAAAACAACTAAAGATAATTCATGAATTGATATTCTTTTTTGTGTACTCAAAAAGTGAGTACACTCTAGAATCGGTCAGTGTGTCCGTCCGGCCGGCCGTCCGTCCGGCCGTTAACACGATAACTTTTGAAAGGAGAGTCCGATCGCGATGAAATTTTCTACACAGTTTAGTCTTAACAATATCTCAGTCGAGTTCGAAGATGAGAATGATTGGCCGAACCATTGCTGAGTTATTGCAAAAATAGTCATTTTTCCCTATGAGAAGATAGACCCTTCTCTGCTTTCATAAAAAACTTTTCCTATCATAGTCATATAAAACCCCAACTATTACATACCATTCGATAGAGAATTTCACGAGCTACAAAATGGTATATAAAACATAAAGAAACAAGAAAGCTAACTCGCCTATTGCAAAGATAATTAATCGGAATTCGGTTCTGTTTTTGTCCACGCTCTATATGATCCACAATTAGAGTTCTATCTTCCCATCACAGAGATAATAGTTCGAGGTTTTCTAGAATGGAGAACTCGAATCTATGTTCCATTCGCCTCGAAATCCCATTGGTTGAGCAGTGACCAATAGAAATCAAGTTATAGGAAAAACGAGTTTCTTAGGGTAAATCAAGGTGAAGAGTTCAAATCTGAGCTGTATTTGCCTCCAAATCGTATTGACTGAGCAATAGCCAATAGAAATTAAGTGTTTACAGAAAGGGTTTGCCAGGGCAATTTTGATGTTCACACATTCTAGGGTGACTCCTCTGTCTGATTCACTTTTTGAAGTACACATAACTCTCGGATTTAAATCCGAGGTTTCCACATTTATTTTTTCATACAGTTAAAAGTTTTTATTCTTTTATGATAAATTTCTCGACTAATTTTAGATCAATTGATATGCATTGTGATTATATTTTTTCCTACTCTAATGTTATTTGTTAGAGTGATATACGAACTTTATAACAACAAATCACATCTGTGTATAAGTATTTTAGTTAATAAAAAGAAATGAAATTTGAAGATCTATGAAAAGTGATTATACGAATAATTGATGACGATATGACATCGGTTCAAATTTGATTAATGGAATAAAAGTAAAAACTATGATTTATTAATTGATGAAATAAGAAAAAAAATTCATCGTGTACCAATAAATGATCTTGTTCGTAGCGTCTGCAATTCGTCATATAGAATTTTATCTATTTTGAAAACTAAAAGTGCATAGATAAAATAAACTTCGTATTGTAGATTATAGAACTTTTCATACTGCATCTTGCGGTATATTTTACTTTTTAATAAAATGTATTAAGTAATGACAAAATCAAATACAAAATGTCGCCATTTATTCTGGTTCATCTGTTATTTTGATGGTTGATTGAGCATTAAGTCTTTAATGATAATAACAAAATTTATTATTTCAAAAATCTTCAGAACCTAAGTTAAATATGAGAGAGAAAAAAAACATTTTACAGTAATTTGATATAAAACAGAGATCTTTCATAAAAAGTTCTTAGGTGTATATACAGAACTAGATCGCTATAAAATTTTTAAACTATCATCAATGAAAACTCAATAGCTCGAATCACTCTAGGATATTTACCTATTCACTAGACCCCATCGATTGGATATAGCCGCAACTTAAAAGCGATATATTACTTGGCGATTCTTCCTCATGAAAGGCCTTTGAGAGTTGGAGGATATAGTATCTTTCCCTCTCGATGATGGCGAATAATTTTTAGCGAAATCTAAAATTTTTCTTGCATTATTTTAAACCACCACAACTTGCGAAACTGCTCTAACACAACAGTCTGAAGTTTAATTTTAAGATGATAGTTTATGTAAGTGAAAGATTCATTCTGTCTGAATTGTTGATAGTTAATATATGACTTAATTTTCCATAAAAATATTTGCGACTTAAACCAATTTGTCATTTACTATTTGATAGTAATTGATAGTATAATAATAAATAGATAGATGATGTTTATACAAATTTACTAGACAAGTATTGAAGAAGAAAAATTCAAATATTTTATCCATTTTTAAACAATGAAAAATACTTCATTTTTCTTGAACTCAATTAAAAGATAACAAAACGTTCAATATCTAATTCTTTAATCATATCATTAACTTATAATTATTGGATAAAATTTTAAACAAAAAAAGTACAGAATCATCTTATTCAACAACTTTCGTCAGACCTTGAGATGTATCATTGCTAGTTTATTCCGATCTTACCCAAAAAGCTTTTTCTAACAGTTCATTCTCAATCGAACTTAAGTTCTTTCATCAAGGAAAATCTATACATTTTGTAAATGTCATTTAGTCAATAAATCAAAACACACTATTTTTGCACTTCAATGATACTTCTCATCCATACACAAGGTTGATTAAAATGTCGATTGCATTAAGCAGAATAAGTACCATTGGCATGGACCAATGCTAACAATAGACTATAATTAACATTTTAAACTACAAATAGTACATTATTTGACGTTTTGCAATTGATTAACAGATCATTGTTAACGAATGATAGTCGTCATAAAGTTAAAGTATATCGACAAACATAATCTAACCTTTACATTTCAATAAGAGATCCAACTTATATATTATGTTGTTTTTTGCAGACGTTAAAACTATTTAACCTTATTAAAATCATGATTATCATAATATTAAACTTTTCACAATATTCTGATAAATATCCACAGCAATCACTGAATGCCATTATGTTGAAGAAATTTATATTTATAATCAGTGTTAGTCTGAGTTTAACCAATCAAAAAGTATTGCGATTTTAAGACTTGATACATATCACTCGAATACTGAATGAGATATAATCGAAATTTTATCTTTAGAAAAACAATGCAAACAGTGCCATCAATACTTTTGATAAATAAATACCATTCCTTCCAAAAAAGAAAATATTATATTTTCATACATGATCATATTTTGTTTGAACTACTGTAGTCTTTATATATTAGAAATGAAATCAAAGCAAACTATAATCTAGTTATATCAGTAACAATTCTACAAAAATTAGTCGTATTCTTCTATGTATTTCAAACCGAACAAAAACTGTTGGTAGACTACAGCGTTTTATTCAGTGTGGAGATCGAAGTGGCGGCGTCTCTCCGAAGTTTTAAATCGCATCTCTGGAAAAGAAACTCTCGATAGAACATTGTTATACGATTTTTGTTTAGCTGGTGTTCCACCGTGTGATATTACAACATCACACAACGGAACATTTTTTATGAGGAGAAACACTAGCTAAATGAAAACAAAAAGAGAAATTAGCGTCCAAGGTTCTTCTTCATATAAATATGTATTGTTTTTACGCATGGATAAAGAGTATCTGTTTTTTATCGATGATTATTTATTTTTGTACGTGTTATAATTCGTAAGTCAATATCTAATTGAATATGAATGAATATTTTTTTAAATTTATCATATTTTTGTTTTGATAATATCCGAGATGAATATTATGTTTGATAATGTTGGCGAAAATTCATGACATCTATCTTAGATATTATTCATATGATAGAGTGCTACCCTCTATTATCAATACATATTGAATGTAGCGTCAGAACATTGGATCTATTATTATTTAATAAAAAAATTGAAATAATACCAATCATTTGATTTGTTTTCGATATATATTTAATAACTCATATGTCAGTTATTTCTTCTCTTAGAAGGATAAAGAGTACAAATTATCAATATTGTCTATTTATAGACGGAAGTATTCTATCATTATCATAAAATGTTAAGATCAACGTCAAATAGTTCGTCAAACAGGTATAATTTATCGACTTTTTTTTTTTAAAAAATTGCTATGTCGCTTCAAAATAAATATATATATAGAGAGAATTAATAATGGTTTAGCCTTTGCTCAATGTTATATATCACTGATTATATATCTGAAAATTATCCATCAATTAATAAAGCATTTTTATTAATAGTAGATAAAGTTGAATTAAAAATTTGATTTTTTTTTTCTTTATATCTTCAGTAATGGTCCATCTGATACTGAAATGTATGAATTTATACCAACTATAAATAATGAAGATAATCTTAATACAATTCAACATATGGAATCAAATGTTTCACATGATACTTTAACCAATCAATCACATCTACGAGTAAGACAAAAAACAAAATACACACATAACAAACCTTGAAACTAAAAAAAAAAA